GACTCACTTTAGTATAAGTCGAATCGGACAATACAACGCGCTATTGATCCTTGTTAATTAAGTCACTGAGCCATATACAAAGTATTATAATACCCTATTCCATACGGTGAGATGTTCGGCTTCGTTTATAGTAACATGTTCCAGACGTACAAATTATTATACTTTGAAAAGTTAACGTGAGTTTAAAGTTAAGACTTTCTCCAATACTAATAATCAGTTCTATTATTTATGCGTGTCGCTTGTTCTTGTATATTTGATAATAACATTTGTAATTTTATTTTGCATAATAATATCTGTATACCAATTACATTCTGCGCGCATTAGTCTCTGTAGTATTAAACGCGCTTGTTCTGATGAGTGACAGAATTTGTTTCATTGTACTGTAAATATTTGGATGACTGTTGTATAAGTGTATCTCTGAAAGCGAAATTACTTCCTCCCACCCCTGAAAGCTTATCAGTATAGCCTAACATACAGTACATATGAGCAACCAAGAAAAGCATACCTGTTTACCATAAATATGGAAAATTAAGTAAATAGTGACTAAAATGCATGACAATGATTGGCTCTAGAGTGAAGAGCTTGTTAATAAATAAACAATATAAGGCTTTTATTAAATGTTAGCCACTGTGTTAGTTGCTCACAAATACAGTATTAGTATCTACGTGTGTTTATATTGTACGTCATTTAGTGTAACCATTTCCACTGAAAATAATTATGCAAATTTGTACACTTGCTAGAAGTTTTTAATATGTTAATATGTACTGTATTAAAAGTACGGTCGTTACATTTACGGTACAATTATTTCTGAACAGGTTTTCCTTATGTACTGTATGTATTTAATGGTACAAGTTTAATGCGTATACTTAAGGGTATAATATCATTGTAATACTTTTTTTGTTGGCATTGTCTGTCATGTGAGGCTCGTACCATTTGCTACTCTAAATGGATGTTGATAATCCAAGAAGCGAATTTGGATTAAACAAAATAGTATACACTTAAATATTTAGTACGTTACCGATTGTAATAACAGCATGTCCGAAACCCGTATCACCCCCCACAAACGTATAAAACGAACCCATATTCACCTGCCATTTCAATAACTTCCACTTCTTCACTCGACATACAATGCCAAGCGTAACGAGAACGCGCCGCTAAATGCAACATGTAGCACTGCTCGTCAACAGACGCATCTCTGTGTCCAGAACTCATCGGTGGCATCTCAGGCGGCCGCCGTTAGTACGCTTTCGTACTATATGTTACGTGGACGACTTTTACGTCGAGTTGCCCAAGGGGCATATTTACATTAGAAAGGCGGATATTTGAAGCGACAACCGTTTTGCCGCCCTAAGGTAAATGACCAGTGGGAGAAAGTGTGGTCTGATGTTGCTTAGTACGTTGTCCACTAATAATAAAATGTTTTCTTCTCTGTTTTGCATTAGCTCGTATCCGTTTTACAGAGGGGGATAAAAGCTTTCGAACACCCTTGTAAACGATAGTAATTATGTATGACCCAAGTATATGGTCACATGATATTCAACTGTTTATGGAAATCGATTCTAGAATAATTTCTTGAAATTTGATTGGCTCTACAACGTTTTTTACTTATGATTCTTTGTAGATTTTCACAATATTTGTTCACCGCTCAAAAATTATACTAAAAGACGTCTACTTTCAATAATCCACTTTGGTTAATTAACATTAAAAAAGTAAACGAGCTCTTAAAAGTCAAGATCTACTACGAACTGTTACTGGCAAGGATGAAATGACAAAAATATTATATCTGACCATGTTTCAACTTTAAAATTTTTTCGTAGTGTCTATTAAACAGAGAGCAAGTGCAAAAAACCTCCCATGTCTTTTTGCAGACCTGGTTGAGAAATACAGTGAAGTCGGATTGAAACCATGCGAAACAAAGAAGTCGCAAAGATGGCGACATGTTAGTACTCAGGACGCATTCTATCCCGAAAGCAAGTTTGTCCGAAATGTAGAGTGCGTCTACCTACATTGGCGGATTGCGCAAGTTTCAGAGTCAGAAAAAGATAAATTGGACCAATTGACTCTCTATAGACCTTATAAACTTGACGAAAAAACTAGACGTTCCATCCCGAATCAGCATTGCTCAGAGACCATCCACCGACCCGATTCTCTCGACATTAATCCTAATTCAACCGCGAATATCGAGAATGTCCTTTATCATATCGAGCATCTGGAATCAAAGACGGAATACGCAAATGGGTGGCTGTAACATGTGATGGTGTTCCGTATCATCGTGCAATCAAAATGAGAGAGAAATATCCATGGTTGATTCTCATTCCTGGACAATTGCACGAAGAAATGAATATGCTTCGGGCATATGTTGAATTAAATTGGTAAGTTCTAACATAAAGATCTTTTATTATAATGTTCTTATAGTAACAAAATTTTTTATTTTAAAAAGGGATATCGATCTCAAACAATTTGCAATATGCCAGGGATATAAAGCGGAGAATCAACTCGCTTACTTCAAGAAATGTGGTGATCATCACAAGGCTTGGGATTCAGTTTGTAACATTTACCGTCAAGCATCTGCTATGGAATTGATGTGGCCATATGTAAAGAGTCGTTCTCATCTATCAGTAGAAGGATATTTGACTTGGGTAAAAGGACAAACTGATGTGCTTTACCAAATAAGATTTGAACGGGAGTCTTAAATTCTCTTTTTAGAGAAATTGTTTATAGATCATTAATTGCTATGTCCATTTTCTATAGATATTCAGATATCTGCAAGCCGTGGTTAACTACAGAACAGCTGTCAGGACAAATAACCCATTACTTAAGAGAGCTGCACGAAGGGTTTTTTCACCAGTATGGTCAGGGCGACGTCACCCAATATACCGTTTGATAGAAGTCGCGATAAAGCACAATTGATGCGACTTGATCCAACTATACGAAATATCATAGAAAGCAACAATGTAGTCTCTCGATCGGGTTAGATACTGTTTTGGAAGAAATAAATAAGACGCTGAAAACGTTAATACCACCCGTTCCACAAATGCGTCACTGGAAGATTGCTGCACAAAATTCTTACAGGTGATTAAACTCTTTACTTCAATTACTAATACATAACATATTGTAAAGATTGAACCCACATTTTCTTTATTTGTTGTCTCAACTCAGCCTATAACATCTATCTATGCAATGTAAACCTTTCCTTTTATTATCTTTTGGCAATGATTAACACCGAAAACGCCTTTCAATTTTAAAGTTATTAGATACTAGTGGCTAGTAGCTATTGCTATGGTGGGCCGCAAAAAATGCTCGTCGGAAAGCCACTGTTTATATAATATAAAAATTTGGTAAACAAAATAAATATATATAAAATAAAAAATATATCGCCTTACAACATATAATAATTAGATCGTTTTGTTCATATGAAATTCCAATCTAATACTAAGGTGTTGATCCGCTCAAAACTATATGATAAACCAAGTGGATCAGTCATTGCGGAAAATTTTTTTTTCTATTGTAAAATGTTATACCAGTTTCAGTGATAAACCGGTCTCTAGCGTTGTCGCCTACCTTCATGCCACTCTACAGCAACTAACGACTAATTTCCTCATTTTCATGTGTTTGTCCTAAATATAACATGGGAATGTAAAAAAGACTTAAATTCGAAGGCTTTTTTTAACAGCTAATTTAGCGTACCAAAAAAATAAATTTCGCATGCACAACCAATAAATAGATTGGATTGTTCTGCCCACGACTGATAACGTTTCTAAAATTTCCCAATTTAGTTGGTATATTATCAAACACATTCTATTCTATTTGTCAACCCTTTCATAGCATGTGCTTAGTTAGTTATTGCGGATTTTGCTCAAACCTTAAATAATTAAATAGGCTTAAAAAACCAATATTGCCAAATTATTGTACTTGTACCTTTTTGTAATGTACAGTGTACAATAGTTTGAGTGTGAGTATTGTGAACGCTATATCGAGAATGTAACAAATAAAGTTGTACAATATTTTTGTGTAAATTTTAACCCAATGACATACATGCACATATGCATGTACAACATATTAATTAATTATCCCCAAATATTTACCTTATTAAATAAATATTATGTCACAACATGAAATAATATAAAAAGGTGCAATCAATCGCAATCTTTTAATTATGCTCGCAACATACACTATAAGATTGTTGACGAACGCTTAGAATCCAAACAACTCCCTCCTGTCAAACTTGAGACACCGTCCAACTTTACCCTCAACACATTATATTCAACACAGACCACAAATAAACGTTACTGTTTCTCGGTACAATTAAAAACTGCCACCACCACTAATAACACACCAGTCAAACCGGTCGAAAATAAAAGAATTTGGTAATAAAATACTGCAGTCAGAAAATAAATGTTTAATATCCTATACAAAAACGTTACTCTTCCCGTGCTAGTATTCTAACCTTGTTTCATACTAACATTTATTATAATTGTCGAAAACTTAGCTGCGGAACAATTTTTTCGAAATCATCGGATATAACGATCTTCAAACAGTCGACCTATTCATCTCCTAAGCTTTTATACTCAGCTCTCCATATATCAGATCGAGAAAATTGTCTTTTCTCAAGATCTTTGGCATTCTGGGGTTACGTCTGGCAAAGCTCTCAGCTCAGCTCTAACGCTGTGTTTTTCCTCTGCAATAAGCTTCGATGGAAAATATCCACACACACACACATCAGAATTTCTTATCAGTCCGATCCAAGATGGACCACCTTCCCAGGTCGGAATGTTTTCAAATGTGGTGACAGCTACTACATGGTTACTCATCCATGCGCGCGCACACACAAATGTGACGACAGCTACTACATGGTACTCATCCATGCGCGCACACACACAAATGTGACGACAGCTACTACATGGCTGGTCATCCATGCAAAGCTCGACAGGAATATATTCTTTATTTCGGCCAATACCAATTACCAAACAAGAAGCGGCCGCGCAAGAAAATGATGCAACATGTCCAAAGCAGAAATTGGTTTAAAGATAGAAACTCTCCTTGAACAGATGAGTGAGAGCGTTCAGAAAAAGTATGGCGGATTTAAGTCTAAAAGGCGTGATGAGTTGTTAAAAATATTAGAAGTGGGAAGGTTGTTATTCAAGTCAGATAATGAATTCGAGAACAGTGATAGGCCATAAAATTTACCATGTAAGAAAATATTGCAAATTGTAATAAAACTAAGATTTGGGAAAATTTGACTTTGTATTGATATTAATTGTAACATTTAACACAAGCATGTATGAATGAGGTAATTTTGTACTTTTTCGTAGGGCATGGTTTAATTATGAATAGCAGATTTGGGGGATTTGAAACAGCCAATAAATCGTGTGTTTGGAGAAATTAAAATGTTAGAGAATTGGCAAAGTTCTGTCATCTGATGCTGTAATAATTGCACGTTACTAGGCTCTGAATTGCACCACTTTTTGTTAGGTATGATGGTGTGTGAGAAAGATGTAGTGAGAGTGAAGATAGAAATGCAGAATAGATGATGTGGGTAAATGAATTGATACAAATATACTGGAGATATGATTTATGAAGTAAGTTATCAGACAAGATTTGACAATTTACGTCTGCATAATAGATATCCTGATCATGACGGATAAGCAAAATGAGAATCGATATATTTTAGTACAAAAAGATTCTCAGCTACTAGCAGAACCTTCAGCTATATTTACTTTTTAGGTAGCGGTTAAAAGCCTAGTGACCAAATGTGGCATAGTATAGAACAGATGAGATGAAAGTCTGCATCCACTCGGAGTAATCTGGGACAACATCCTATAATAAAGAAACAGCCATACGTATAGTGTCCCGCATCGTCGTTCAAAGGCTTCATTTACGCTCATCGACCTTCTCTCAACAGGTTTCCGGTTCGAGAAGCAGTTGAAACCATCGATATTATTTTAGAACGTCTTGAACAGTGGGATGATATATCTCCAACATTGTGATCGCGCCAACTATTTCGCCGCGTCTAAATTCGCTAAATTTGCGCGTTTTGAGCATTTTGTCGAGACTTGATACCGTATAGTTCGAAAGTAATCACCCCCCCTTTAACTATAGGAGGCGCTTCGTGACAAAATCACACGTACAAATATAAAAAGTCACATGTATATAGAAAATTGTGGGGGTGATGCTTATTTTCGGAGGTAAAAATTTGGGGAGATGCATACTTTCAAGGGTCAAAACTATGCGGTATTACTAATGCAAGCAAATTTTTTGCGGGAGTGGAGTAACACGCATCTTTTTTTGTAAGTAAAATATCAAAATTTCTATTTCGGCGTTGAAAATTCAAAAGCCTCTATCTGATAACTTTTTTATCAATTTGAATGCTTTTTTTTTGTTCCGTTCATATACTATCAGACAATGCATCCATAGCAATTGACGGAAATAACCTTATAGGTTAAATAATAATTTCAATTAACAATAAAAAATTAGGCTATACCTCGTAATCTACTGTGCTAACATTCGTTCAGTCTCTATGAAAAATTGTTTGCAATATCAGGAAGCACATATGTAGAACTTAGACAAGGCTCCCGTAGACATATATTCCAAACAAAGTGAATCTATGTATCAAATCAATAAATTAGCTATATTAATATATATTTTACAAAAACGTACAGATACTTTTCCACCTGGTCTTATTGAAATGTTTTGAACGTTTAATATAATTTACTTTCAGTTCTGTGAGCAAAATTTCATAAGACAAAATACTTTTACGCGCGTTATAATTTTTTTTAAAATGGCCTATCAACATTTGTTAACGATCAGCACGTATACGCCTTCATCTTCATAGTGGGTAAAATAGAGTTTACGAGATATAACACAAAAAAAGAGCATGCAAATCGATAAGAAAGTTGCCGCGATATACAGTCTAATCTCGATATAATGAAGTTATATAGTGACCGTACCACCTGATGGACTTTGACCAATCATAATATACACGTTTTAGAATAAAGACTTTAACAGTATGAAGCTGATAAAAAAGAAACAGAAACAGAAGCCAATCAGAGAGAAGATGTCTGTCCGGTGTCCAGAAAGCCGAAATATGTCGTTTAAAAGAACGAGGTGTTGGCCTAAGTTACATTAGAGAAGCAATTCGATATTGCTGAGGCAACCGTTCAAATATTGTTAAGGTAAGATGGTTGTCACTTGATCTAAATACTATAAGGCCATCATAAAGTGACAAAGAACTGGAAAGCATCCTTACTACATAATTGAACGGTATGACACTTGCTACGTTGAACAACTTAGTACCAGTAGATGGGTATGTGTGTGCGTACACAAAAAAAAGGTAGAAAAAAAGTTCAAATCAGACGTGCTAAAAAGCTTTATCATTTTCAATGCACTGGACATGTATTAAAAAAACTAGCCTAACAAGAAGACTACATTCATAAGAGAGTGCCTCAAAACCAAGTAGACCGTAACATATAACCACTATTGGGTTATCCGAAACAGGGTTGCGAGTTTTTGAAATCTTGAGTTTCTGTATAATACTCAGCGATTTGGATAATTCATATCGAAAAGAAAGCATATGGCTCCAATAACCTCATACAGGTAGCATAAATCCAATGTCGTTGTCGGCAATGTGAACTGAAACAACGTCTTTTTGCAATACAATCCACGACCACCAATATACGTTATGGAAATAGAGCAAGCACTTATATCATTAAAAAACAAATTGCGCGTTAAATTTCAGAAATGTAAAAATCACAATTGTAACAGAAAAGGCAAAACTTTACCTTCAGTTTGAAGGCCGAATACTCGTAATTTCTTGGCAACTTCAAAATCACATTTTTTGTAATCATCCAGAAAGTTATTGAGTACGTCAACCAAGCACCGTTCAAGTTCTACTTTATCGTTTTCTGCGAAACGAGTCGGTACTCCAGATAACTCAATAAGCAGAATTTCTTTATATCTAGAGAACCTATACCGCAACATTTCGAACCGATCCTTTCGAGATAATAATTTCGGCGCTGTTCGAATTTCATCCTACAATTAAGAAGAGAAAGTTATTAACCACAGGACAATTTATCAAAACTTTCCTCGCTTTTCTTTGGCTTTTTGATACTTACCAGGTTTTTAAATATGAATATGAAAAGTTCAATTATGGGTTGAATAAATCGAGTACAGAATATTGCCTCGGTACTCGGCCGTTGGGTTTCATACAATAAGATCATACCAGCACTTACAAATGATTTATGACTTCGCGATTACGATTTTGTACGACTCGAATTTTTTCAAGTTGTTTTTAGGTAATTGTGTTGATGGTAGTTGTGATTCGGAAATAACGTTTGACTATTCTTCAACCGTAAAGAACGGAGGTCTATCTCGTACTGTCACATTATCAAGATCAATAATGTGTGCATAGTATTCTCTACATAGAAGAATAATAAATGTGAATAGAACGTCGATAATATTAAAGCGCAAGAAGCCATTACTCACTCTTCGTGTGGTTCTTCATTATTATCAAAGCCAGATTCTGTATTTTCGGATTTAAGACCTTGAGTTGTTACTATTATCGACCTGAATATCTTGAAGTTCATTGTGCTCGGAGTTGGGGTTTGAATTATCCCTATTATCGACTTGAGTATCTTGAAGCCTATTGTCTTCGAATTTTTGACCTGAATGTAAAGGCAATTATATTTTAAGCAGAGAAAATGGTGTGATACGCAGAAAATAAATACTAACCAGATCTACAATTCCTTTTCGATTTCTGTCCAGAAGTTTGAGACAGCTTGAGACTTAATTTCATTCTAAGTTAGAGAAAGAATACGTTCACGACAGGTTTAAGTTTGTTTTATTCAAAGAACACATTAATGAAATAATAATTTTCGGATCAAACAAATTAGGAACCCAATTCAGAGGATGAACGCAGGAACGATACCAGCTTCTGTTTAATCTGCAAATACATACCTGATAGTTTTTGATACTTTTGTCTGCTAGTTTCTGAATCCGTTCAACAGGATGGTTATTCCAGATATCGTTAAGGGTTATCAGTATGTTGCGTTTTTATCCGAGACGGAAGCATTTCAGAAACAGAGGTATTCGAGGAGACGATTTGAGACGCCGGGCTTTTCTAGAATCTTTATAACCTCCAACACGATAAAATTCGCGCACGGCGAGCTTATTAAAATATACGCGTGGCTTATCGATTTGTTAACCAGTAAAAATATTGCATAAATCATATTGTTCTCCATTACGGAAACAATCGTGGCAATACGAACTCCGTCACTATATGATGGCATGATGCGTCAGCTTATGCTTTCTATTGGTTTACAGTAATCTTTGTCGCAGATTTCCACACTCCTTATTGCATAGATAACAACATTTATACTTATAAGATTACGCACAATAATATTAAGTAGTACCAAAATGTGTCATCTTTCATTATCTAACACACAAACAGCGTCTGCGGATCGGATACGTGTATTATGTTATGGCGGGTATAGCTTCGGCTAAGTCGTCATTTCAGTGACATTTCTATCATCATTCTATATACTATATATAGTATTACTACCAAATACTACCAAATACTACTAATAAAACGTAGTAATAAATATATGTAAAAACGGCTTAGAAACCCCAAAAACGGCAAAAAAGGCATTATATTACTAAACTACCAAAATTACCGTAAATCTTTTAAAAACCAACCAACCAACAAACAAAAACAACATTCACATTCCCCCATTTTTGTGGGGTTGGCAGTCTTTTTCACACCTCTCATTCGCGTTCTAAAGCTTTAAAAGCGTCAATTTGATACCTATTTTCCCAAATTACCGAATCTGTTTTCTCTACTGAGGTTTATTGCTAAAAGAACGCGCTTGCCACGCTAATATAATTAATACACGACCTCAAATCTACGCCCATTCGACTAAAGGTTAAATATCCGGTCCGAAGTCTGTACAATAGAATTAACTGGAACATTAGCACTGAATTCGGCTAAATTCGGGCCTTAATGGTAGTGTCTTGAATTGTGGTCTGGAGACGTTTACTTTGTTTTCTCAGATCAATAACGAAGAGCGGGTAGAACTCATTCAAAGAAATACTGTTGCACTTTCTTTTTCACTAACGCTATTTGAAATCTCGAAACATTTTATAGGCACGAGAAACCCTGCATTTAGCAAAATCCACAACAGCAGGATGACGGTCGCCGTTCAACATAGCATAACTATTTCTGAGGTTTACGTTATTAAAAAGAGCATGATTAAAGCGTTGATTGAGATCATTCCGCATCTGTTTGAAAGCCAACGACAATTCACTTATTTTTTTCAGCGCCGTTAGTAACAGATATTCTTCAAGAGAATGACGTTGTTTGAAGCACGTTGAAAGAACTACCATGCAATGCCCGAGAACCCACCGGTATTGTATTTTTATTTTCTAGGACCCTCAGGGGTTAAGCGACCACAATTTTTATGAAACCCCAAAACTGGCAAGCCCCTCCTCGAGTTTAGATATATAGTATGAAGAATTGGGACATCAAGTCGTTTATTTTCAGAGAATAAAGAAAGAATTCCTCGATTTACGTGAACGGGATAAACTTAAGAGACTATTATTTAAAGAAAACGGTATCGCTATTCGATTATCTGGTATTGAAAATTTTGAAGAAGCGGTTCCTAGAATATTAAGAGAGTTGTGTCTAATTTAGCGACCATATATATAATTTTACAATTGAAGATTAATTAATATGTAGTATGAAAAACAACATGATTCGATTACCGCAAGATAACATATCTACATAAGGTTCTCTCGGGAATTATTTTAGTAACGCTAGAGAAGTCCTTGACGATTATCTAAACAGAAATTGCGTACACGATACAACAACATTAATAATAGATCAGGGTGAATTATAATTTTACCTAAAAATACACGAACCTTGGTTAATGTGGGAAATATCGCTAATTTTACTCGTAGTAGAGATGGATCAACTTTCAATTTT